AAAGGCTTAGGTACAACAGAAGATCACACACAACCCTCATAAAGATCATGTCCAGAGTCCCGGCACAGTTTTTTTAGGGAGAATGTGCCACTAGGCCACATAGGACACCTTCCATATAAGGCCTAACACATAGAAATGAACACAGAATTAAGAAAACAAAGGAACATGCCACAAATAACAGGAGTAAACTCCAGAAAATAAGCTAAATGAAATGGAGGCAAGCAACCTACCAAAGACAGAGCTCAAAATAATGGTTATAAGGATGCTCAATGAACTTAGGGGGAAAATGGATGAGCCCAGTGAGAACCTCAACTGAGAGGTAGTAAGCATAACTTAGAGACATGGAAACCATAAAAAAGAAATAGGCAGAAATAAAAATACAATAACTGAAATGAAGAATGCACTAGAAGGATCCATTTAATTCTTAACACTTATGACAAGTGTGTGAAAATGAATCTAACAATAATGTAGCTAAAAAAATTAGAAATCAAAAAGGAACACACAGAAGGCGGAGCAATGAAAATAAGAAATTTTAGCATAGAATGTTTTAGAGCTATAAAAATCAGAATGCTTGATACAAAAGTGTAAGAATTGCTTATATGGTGGCACTTTTTTTCCCCCTGAGGCTGTCCAGTGAACTCTGTGGACTCGGCAGAATGTTCCCCCAAGTACAGCTTAAACTGCAGTAAACAAGCTACACTCCTGGGAAGTCGTGGGGGTCATGTGAGCCAAGCTCACACTACCCAGAAAGGTTACTCTGTCCTGGAAGCTGAGAACCGTGTGTACAAATGTGGAAACTAAAGTTCAGAGAGGGGAACTGGTGGTGCTCCCTGAACCCCTGAACTTGCCCTCCTGGTATACCAAGGACAGGTCAGACCAGCTGACCCCACTAGCCTGTGAGGCAGGAGCTCCTGTTTCTCTGGCTGTCACTTTAACCCTTGGTCCCCAGAGGTTACATATATGTTTACCTGTTCTTTCCAAAGTAGGTATAATTTTTTACATTCTTTCCTGAAGAGTATGGGAAATCTAGTTTCTCCATATCTTTGTGGATTCTTGTTTTTATTATTTTGTGGTGTATGAACAGCATCTCACTGTTCTTTTCGTTAGCATTTCTATGGTTATAATGATGCGGATCACTTTTTCATGTGCTCCATTTTGCCTTTCTTTGTGAGTTATCTTTTCAGGTCTTATGCCCATTTTAAATTTCTTTGTATTTTTATGATTGAGATTTATTTATTTATTATCTATTGTGGTGTCAGAGCTTGAGTGGGGAGAGGAGGGTGTTGTCTGAGAGGATAAGTCTGCCTTAAGTCAAGGAGAGTGAAGAGGGCATCCTCATGGAGCGATGCATTGGGTGTTACAGTCCAAGAGAAGTGAGGCAGGCACCTAAAAGAATAGGTGGGAAATCTTCCTGGTTTGGGAGCCAAAGCTCACCCATGCTGATGACAGTGTCCACATGAGAGTAACACCTTGACATGGGAAATCAGACATCAAGCAGGGTAAGGAGAGCTTGGGTGCTCAGGGTGGTGAATAAGAGCCTAAAGAGTGTCCACACATGGGGGGAGTATCGGTACCTTATCAGGGTGAGTAGGGCATCCACAAGTAGGAGTGGCCTGGTTTGATTATTGTAGCCCATCCTTACCCTGGTGGTCGGGGGGTTGGTGGCAGAAACAAAAGACTGGTTCCATACAGGGAAATTAATCAAATAAGTAAATATATCAAGGAGGATGGGAGATAAATTTACCACTGTCTGCAAAAGGAGATATAAATACAGAAAGAGACATAACCCTATGGTACTGGAGTAGAATAAGAGGCATCAGTATGATTTCATGGTAATCAGTATATGTTGATAAATAGAATAATAGAAAGACAAAAATGTATACATGTAACCCATACTATATCTCTATATGCATGCGTACACACACCTAGTGCATACATTACCTAATTGTACTCACTGAGAAGGCCTGGGAACTTCTCATAGCAATGAGCACAACTAATGTACAGATCTTGACTTCTAAACCACATTTTTAACTAAGAACCATGGTTCTTTGGAGAAATGGTTGACTGGAGAGTTGGGGCAGGAAGAATACAAGATGAGCCAAGAATACATTACTGTGACAGAAAGTAAGAAATTTCTCAAAGATTGGTGGGGAAATGTGAAAAAAAACAATGAATCTAGTCATTAGGAGACAATTTGAGTACCAAAATAAATAACAATATAATGGATTATAACCCATCGAAAACAGCTGACTTCATAATTCTGTAATGATGTATAGATAGGTACATTGAAAACTTACTGATGACTAGATAGTTACATTATATCAAAGAATCTATCCCCCAAATATTTTTTCAATTACCAATGCGAGAAGAATAACTTTACAGTGGCAAAGACTACCAGACACTATCTTAATCAAGTTATCAAAGTGAACACTACCCGTAATGGGACAGATTGAAATTGTTTGTCATCTAATAAGATGCCATGAGAAGCAAGAGCATCTTGCTTCTGTCCTATTCCTGTCAATGATGGATAACCTGAATTTATTCATGAAGAAACATCAGACAAGTCCACTTAGGTAGATTTTACAAATACTGGGCCTATATTCCAAGAGTGACAAGGTCAAGAAATGAGGGAGAGACTGAGGAACTGTTCTAGACAGAAGTCGACTATGGAGACATGACAGCTAACAGCAACATGTACGTCTGGGTTCTGAATACAAGGTATGCCACAGGGACTTCTGGTGAGACATCAATAAAAATCAGAATTCAGTGGTCCTAATGCATCAATACTAATATCCTGATTTTTGATGGTTGTATTATGTGTATGTAGGAGAATCGCATTGTTTTTAGGGAATACATACCAAAATACCTGAGGTAGGGGACTTCAGGTCAGAAATTTACTCTCAAATGTTCAAAATAAAGGAAATTCTTCATATACACCTACAACTTTTCTATATACTTAGGATTTAAAAAATATATATTTACATAAATACAAAAATATTTTGTGTATGAAAGCAACAATGGGCTCATATCTAAACTATACAAACCCTTCACAGAAGAAGAATCGATATTGCCAATAGATACCTGAAAAAGAGCTTAACATCATTAAGCCTCATGGAAATAGAAATTAAAACTATAATGAGATATTATTCCACTCCCATCAGAATGGTTGAAATGAAAGAAGATTGAACATATTTAGTGTTGGCAAGAAATTAAAGCAGGCATTCATTGTTCTGTCTATACTCTCCTCTGTTCCATTATTTCTGACAACTGTTAACTGGTTCAACAATTTGGATACTTCTTTGGCAGTATTTACTAACATTGAACACACATGCATATCCAAAAATCCCACACATAGGTATATACTAAAGAGAAAACCAACACCTTGGGATACAAAAGAGATAGGCATAGGAATGTTAATACCAACATTATTCATAATAGTCACAAACTGGAATCAATCTGTATATCCATAACAATGCAATGAAAACTATAGATTGTGAGATAGTTATAAAATACAACAATATACAAAAGCATAACTTTACTGTTGTTTACAACAACATGAATTTTACTAACACAACACGAAGTGAAACAACTATATACTAAAAAATACGTAATGTATGATTCCATGTATATAAAACTTAAAATCATGTCAAAATAACCTATGATATGTTACTGAATACATTTAGGAATGGGGAAAGTACTGAGTAGGAGGAGATTTAATTGGCAAAACTATTTTTCTTGACCTGTGTGTTGTTTACATAGTACATGTTCAGGTGATAATTTATTGAACTGAACATTTAGGACTTTCTCTGTGTATATTAGGATTCACTGAAAAGGTTTATTTAAAAAGAAACAGTTCTGATTCACAATTCTACCCTAGCTGAAGTTTGCAGTGCTCTGTCACTAGAGGGCTTCATGCCGATGCCCTTCTGACCATTCATCTGGGAAGCGATGGGAAATCCTTTGATGTGAGATGTCACCGACTTTGGAATTGTTAAACTGGATTCTAAGACCAGGTCTTGTACTGATGACCTATGACCTAGTAACACTGCACCTCACCGAGTCACCAATTTCACATTCCAAAGTCTAAAGTCAGGATTAGACTAGAGGTCTCTCATCCCTCTTTCTCTAATGATCTTTCACTCTACAAAAAGAGAAAGGACCAGGCAGGAGCCTCAGCAAGAGAAAGGAGGAGAAGAGAAGGGGCACCCATTTCTCAAGAAATAAAATGATTGCTTTAAAGAGAGCCATCGAGTTCATGTCATGCAAGAGAAAGTAGCGCTGCTCTGTCAGAATCCAGTGCTGTGTGAGTCAGGCAGCAAAGTCATGCTGCTCTATGTCCTAGATAAAGGGATTACCAAAACTGGACTCACTGAACTTCTAAAGGTTACATAACTAAACTTTTATGACCCTTGCTTTAGTCAACCCATGCTGCAGTATTAACACGGTTAATGTTTATTTGATAGTCACCAATGAAGGTAAGTCACAGATGACTCGGTAAACGCTGGGGAACTTGCTTGAACTGAGTATTTTCGATTAAGGAAGCATTCATGACCCAGAGGATGTGGGGCCAGAGCTCCACCACCTGCAGTCTGTTTGTCCTTGGCCGAGGCGCTGAAACTTCCAGGCCAGCTGCCTCACCATTAAAATGGACATAATTTTACCTTAGGCAAAAGTAACTGAGTGTATCAAAAGAGACATGATGGAGGTGTCATTCTGCCTGGTAACATGAGGGACGAAAGTATGTGCTGTAAATGAGGTCTTGACAAGTCTTAGTTTTCCTTCTCAAAGTGCTTCGAAATAAGCGTGCTAATCAATTTAGGACAGATAAGATGATATCTTTACAGAATACATCTTTGTACAGTAATCTAGTAATGTATATCATCCCAGTGATGTTCGGATCCTTATGATCACTAAGTGGCACCTCATGATCAGGTCTGCATGTTATGCTAGTTCTGTGCTATGAGTCTTTTTAGTTAAGTCCCTGTCTTCCGTCCCCCACAGAATCTACGCCTGTTGTCCTGTCTAAAATCTTTCTTCCTTGCTGTGCATACTTCATTCCATTGGTTCTGACAACATTAGGCCGGAAAAGCAACAGAGAAGGCTGTGTCTGAAGGTAGGGATGTGGGGAAAGCCATGGTTTTTCAAGCCCTCTCCCTGAATTCTGTGACACTGGCTCTTTCCTCAGTGACCTGTACAAGTTTCACTTCTGCATTGAAGGAGAGAGGAGAATCTTCATCTTCTGTTTCTTCTCTTGAGAATCTATGGCTCTTTTATCCTTGGAGTCAAATAAGGGCGTCTGTTCAATGTGGAGCCGGTTATTTTGTGAACACTCGATGGGGTGCCCATTCAGAGAAAATAATGTTTTGGGAGTTTTGTTTGTTTTCCTAAAATTGCTTTGGAGGCAGCTGAATCGTAAGCCATAGAGCACCATGATGGGCACTAGAGAATATAAGTTGCACCCCCAGTTATGTCCCTTATGAGCTGTGTGTCACTGGATGGGTGTCCTATTCTCTCTGAGATTCCCCATCTGAAAAGTAAAAATAATTTTTTTCAGTGTTTTTTTTCTTGATGGGGGAGAGTTTGATGTTAAAATGTGTGTAAATTAGCTAATGACTTGATTCATATTTAGATATTCAAAATTAATGATTTGTGTTCCCTACTTTATGTTTAGCTAACTATAGGCTTTTATAATCAAGGAGAAAGTATACTAGTATTCGGTAAATCATTAAAGGATAAACAATTTTTTATATACAAGGATTGCCTCACAGGTTATAAATTCTGAACTGGTCACGAATCTGAGAATCCAAAATATTGAGCAATTTTTTGAGTCGTTTATTTACTTTATTGATTTTCAACCAAATGAGATGTTAAAAAAAAAAACAAATAAAACCCCAATATCTGGGCTGCACTTCAAACTTGTCAAACCAGCATCTCTAGGGCGAAACATTACAAAGAAGGAGACAAATGGCCTGAAGTCCCTTCAGAAAAGAGATTAAAATAAGTACATCTAGCTGATTAATCTTCTTGGGAGTCAAAGAGGCACGGGGTGAATAGTAGAGAGTGTTATAAAAGTTTGGATTTTAAACTCCCAGGTGCCTAAGTAAGAAGAAAGCTGTAATGGATCCGGTTGTGGTCCTGGGGCTCTTTCTCTCCTGTTTGCTTCTCCTCTCCCTGTGGAAACAGAGCACGGGGAAAGGGAACCTCCCGCCTGGCCCCACACCTCTGCCAATTATTGGAAATATTCTACAGCTAGATCTGAAGAATGTAAGCAAATCCTTAAGCAATTTAAGTATGTCTTATGTTCCTCCAGCAGGTTGCAAATGGTAAGTAAATTAATATCTACTTTTAAATAAAATATATTTATCAAAATATATTTACATAAAATACAACATAGAAAATGAAATTGTTAAAATATATCATTGGGAAGAAAATACTCCCTGTGGAGCATTGTTTTGATTTGTCATGTCAAGAATAGTGGAGTGAAGTAATGCATTGTGTGAGAGAGATACATTTAGGTCTTTGTATAGTGGAATCAAAATAATAAAGTGGCAAGAGATGGGAGAACTGCTCCTCATGATAAAGGATGTGTCTTTGATTAGAGACTTCATTCAAGAAGTCATCTACTATATAAACAGTGCGTTTTGTTCAGAATAGCCATGAAAATTGAACTTTTCTGAAGAAGCCAATTATGCTTGATGTCAAAGAAATAGTTCTGGGATGAGGACCAGCATAAGTGAATGAAAGAGGAAAATAATCTGTCTGGGCCAGCTTGATGATAACAGATCTGTCTGGATTCTGCACAAAACTGCCTTCTGTACCCTATAAATGCTGCAGGTGAAAGAAATTGTTCTTCCGTGAGATGCCGCACATCCTGGCCCTGCCTCTGTGGTGCTCACTCTGCTCTACAGTAATAACACCAGTGGACCATAAACTTGCCTAGGCATTAGAAACCTCTGGGCTAATTTAAAAAATATAAAATTTTAGTATTCATCACAGGGCTACTGAATCAGAATTCTTAAAGCAAGAGCTTTACACGTGACCGTGAAGTGGTGAGCGGGGCATTGGTCCAAAGTGGGCATTGAGAATTGATGTATTGCTTAAGGATCAGAGGTCAAATGAGAAGGAATTCAAATTTCAGTGTTCTATGTAGTAGCTATGGGATGCTGGGGATAAATTGCAATTTACTGACATCAGTATCCTTATTTGTAAGTGGGGCAAATGAACCTGCCGAACGTGCTGCTTTGAGGATTCATTGTAACACCTGTACAAATTAGCCGAGCATTGCCTGGCACTTACTTGGTAGTTATTAACCACCACCCTCATATTTAATGATTCACTTTAGAAATATTTTGAGCAGTGGGTCACAAAGTGAAAACTTAAAATAGGTTAATAACATCGTTAATCGGGCATGATATATTATCAAATTGTAACTTCTTTTGCTAATGTTTGCATCTCCTTTCCCAGCTCTCAAAGTCTATGGCCCTGTGTTCACGGTGTATTTTGGCATGAAGCCCATTGTGGTGCTGCATGGGTATGAAGCAGTGAAGGAAGCCCTGATTGATCGGAGAGAGGAGTTTTCTGGAAGAGGCAGTGCCCCAGTATCTGAAAAATCTAGAAAAGGGCACGGTAGGTGTGTGTGTCTGTGTGGGCAACATTGGTAATGGGGGTGGGAAGGACGGAAATAGGGATTTGAATTCTCTTCAGCAGAATTCAAATTCTGCCGGGCCCATCCGTGTATGAATCAAGTGTCTGCTCTCTTTCCTGGCCTAGGATTTCTCTCTCAGTTTCTGTTTCCCCTCCTGGCAGGAATCGTGTTCAGCAATGGAAACAGATGGAAGGAGACCCGACGCTTCTCCCTCATGACCCTGCGGATTTTGGGGATGGGGAAGAGGAGCATTGAGGACCGCCTGCAAGAGGAAGCCCTCTGCCTTGTGGAGGAGCTGAGGAAAACCAACGGTGAGTGATTCTCTCTGCTTCTGACCTTAACAGACTGTTCCCTTCTCCAATGACATCCCTGAAAACAGTTCATGGGGCCCGAGTGTTTTGTCTGGGAAGTTGTGGTCAGCCCTCATGTGGAGGAGGGAGGGTTTGAAGCAGAGCCAAGGGAGGTTTTGTGCATCTATGCTAGTAGTGTGTGTATCTCCACGGTTGTGTGGGCACACAGTGTGGGTATAAATGTCATTTAATCCTGTTCTGTCCTGAACTTTGTTTGATTGTTTTCGAATCAGAAATCATGAAAAATAGTTTTGAATCATTTTCTGAAAGAGTTAAGGAGTGATGTTTTTCCTATAGCATGAATGTGGGTTATTTATTCCAGAGCATTTCACCAGGTGATATTTATCAAGTGGACATGGTGGGAATGAGCTCATCACACTCTAATGGAGCATATAACAAGTGACATGTGCCTTTACTTAACTGGATTATATTTATACAGTCAGCCCACACATGTAGGTGAAAGTTACTTCCAGGGACCAGGAATAATGCCGATCATAATGCCATCTATGGTTTTAATTGCTTAGGCATATTAGTCTCATCAGTTATGATTTCTGTGTATAGTCAGCACTATCTCAAAAATATGGGCATTTATTATGTTTTGTTATCAAATACCCACCGTATTGATTTATGTATTTTGAAGATATGCTACATCATAACTTTTCAAAATACCGAAATACCAAGGTAAAGAATGTTTCATTTAACGAGATTTGAACCATTATCAATAACAACTTATCCTGTCTTCCTTCAGTGGTATTCGCTCTGTTTTCAGTTTGCTACACTTTTCCCCAACTTCATTACATTTTGGTAACTAGTATATGGTCATCATTTACCTCCCACTGCCTGATGTAATGACCTGTGAAGTGCTTGTCAAAGTGACTGATGTTCAGCTTGCATTACAAATTCTACTGTTTTTAAATTCTTTCTTCTATATTAAGTGAAAGGAAAGACTGAAAATCATGTTTTACCTGTGAATCACATACAGACAAATGCCCAAGTCCTTTCAAATGATCCTCGAGCTAAATTATTCAATCTAGCTCAAATAAAAGTTGTCTTAAAACTTAGAGCCCTGAACATTTAAAGGAGCCTGGCATGGAAGCCTCTAACTACACGTTCCCTTTTATTCCATGCTCTACCATTTTTCCCCACACTTAAAAATAAAATTTATAGTGAACAAACACATAACATAAGATCTACCCTCTTAACAAGTGATTACGCATACATTCCAGTATTGTTGGCTATAATCACGCCGCCGTGCAGCAGGTCTCTAAACCTTTCCGTCTTGCATAACTGAGACTGTTCCCATTGAACCATGACTCTCTATTTCCTATTCTCCCAGGTAATAATGACATTTTACAATCTTACTTTTTTTCGTCCGTGAACATGGGATATTTTTGCATTCATTTGTTCTTTCTGTGATTACTTTCATCAGTGCGTTCTGAGAGATGAGTGTACGGATTTTTCACCTTCTTAGTTGAATTTATTCCTAAATATTCTATTTATTTTGTTATTTAAAATGGAATTGTTTTCTTTATTTCTTTTTCAGAGAGTTCCTTTTTAGTGTATACAAACGCGATTGCTTTTTGCATGTTGATTTGATATCCTTCAACATTTGTGAGTTCATCGATTAGTTCTAACAGCTTTTAGTGGAGTCTTTAGGGCTTTCTAGATGGATTGTTCTGGTTAGGGCTCCAGTACTATGTTGAACAAGAGTGTGCGAGTGGACACTTTCTTGTTGTTTCTGATCTTAGGGGAAAATCTTCCTTTGAGCATGATGTTAGCTGTGGGCTTGACATATATGGCTCTTATTATGTTGAGTAAAGGAATATAGAAGTGCATTTATCATGAAAGAATGTTGAATTTTGTCAGGTTCTTTTTCTGCATCTATTAGAATGATTATATTATTTTTATTTTTTTATTCGATTAATGTGGAACCTCATACTTATTCATTTGTATATGTTTGGAAAGGTTTGTGAAGGTTTGGCAATATTTACCAATCCTTAATATTTGGTCGAATTCACCAGTGAAACCATTGCTTCTAGGCTTCTTGTTTTTGGGGGAAGTTTTTGAATATATGACTCAAGTGCCTTACTCCTCCTGATATCGGATTTTCTATTTCTTGATGATTCAGTCCTGTACATTGTATGCTTCTAGGAATTTTCACATTTCTTTTAAGTTATCCAATTTGTTGGGGTGTAATTGCTCATAATATTTCTCAGGTTTTTGTTGTTGTTGTTGTTGTATTTCTGTGGTATCAGTTACAATGTCTTCTCTTTGATTTCTGATTTTATTTGCATCTTCTTGTTTTTCTTAGTCTATGTAATGGTTTGTCAATTCTGTCTTTTCACTTCTATACTAAATTAATTATGGTTTATTACCACCTTTATTTTATTATAGTATTCTGTGTTTGTCTCTATATTACTTATCTTGGCAAGTTTTATACTTTGATATGGTGTTGTGTTGCTGTTCAGTGTCCCATTGTTTCAACTTTAAGGAATCCTCTTAGAATGTCTTGTGGTGATGAATTCCCTCAGCTTTTGTTTATCTGGGCAATATTTGTCCTGTATTTTGAAGATTGTTTTGCCGAAAACAGTGATCTTGGTGGGCAGCTTTTGCCTTTCTGTACTTTGAATATATGATCCCATTTCTTTCTGGCCTTCAAGGTTTCTGCTGAGAAATCTGTTCATAGTCTTACGGTGGTTCTGTTGTATGTGACATGTCGCTCTTGTCTTACTGCTCTTCAAATTCTCTATTTGCCTTTGCCTTTTACAATTTTTTTTCTCTGGCTTTATTGAAATATGATAGACAATTAGTTGCTCATATGTACATTGTACAATTCAATGAGTCTTTTTTCAGAGTTCCACATAACTCACAATGTGATCACCCGACTAAATCTAGTACCTATCTTTTCCCTTACATATTTATTACAACATTATTATCCATCTTTCTCATGCTACATTCTACATCTCCATGTCTATTCTGCAACTATCCATTTGTACCTCTTAATCCCTTTGCATATTTCTCGTCCTCGCAACCTCCTTCCCATCTAGTTGCCCTCAAAATGTTCTTTGTATCCACCAGTTTATTACTGCTTTGTTGTTGTTGTTGTTTATTTTTTTCTTTAGATTCCACATGTACGTGAAATCATGCGATATTTGTATTTATCTGACCCATTTCATTCAGTGCAATATCCTCTAGGTCCATTAAGGCAATATCTTTTTCCAGCCCCTTTCTTTTAATCTGTGTCTGTGTTTTAATCTGAATTGAGCCTCCTGTAGGCTGCATATGTAGGAGTCTTGTTTTCTTATCTATTTGGCCACTCTATCTTTTGGTTGGAGCACTAAATTCTTTTCTATTTGAGGTACTTATTGATTGGAATGTACTATTACCATTCTTTCTTCATGTTTTTTATACATTTTTTTTTCTTAAGGAAGTCCCTCCAACGTTTCCTGTAATACTGTCTTAATGATGATAAATTCCTTTAGATCATTTTTGTCCGGGGAGCTCTTTATCTGTCCTTCAACTGTAAATGATAGCTTTGCTGGATAAAGTATAGTTGGATGTAGATCCAAGGATTTCATCCCATCAAATATTTTGTGCCTAGCTCTTCTGATATGTATTGTTTCTTTTGAGAAATCAGCTGCCAATATTATGGGTGTACCCCTGTAGGTAACTAACTGCTTTTCTCTTACTGCTTTTAAAATTCTCTCTTGGTATTTAAACTTTGGCATTTTAATTCTGATGTGTCTTGGTGTGGCCCTCTTTGGGTTCATGTACTTTGGGGCTCTCTGAACTTCCTGGGATTGTATGTTTATTTCCTTCATCAGGTTAAAAATGTTTTCCATCATTATTTCTTCAAAATCTTTCCAACTTCTTGTTTACCTTCAAGTAACACAAAGACACAAATATTTTTACATTGAATTATGTCCCATAGGCTCCTTAATTTATTATAATTTATTATAGTCTTGGCTTCTTTTTGCTTCCCATTCTGATTGAGTGTCCTTGGCTTCCCCATCCTCTATATTGGTGGTTCAATCCTCTTATTTATCCACTCTGTTTATTCCACCTAATTTACTCTTCATCTCAGATTATGTGTTCTTCATTTCTGACTGATTCTCTTTTATAATTTCCATTTCCGTTTTCATGTTTTTTATCTCTTTGTTAAAGTTCTCTCACTGAATTCATCTATACTTCCCCTAAGTTCATAGAGCATCTTATAACTCAGCATCTCTTAGATTGCTTGACTCCATTATTCCTGGATCTCTGTTCTGTAACCTCATACGGTTTCTGCTTCTTCGTCTTCCCATTTTGGGTGCTTTTCTGTGTCTGTTCCTATGTACTAAGAAAGCTCCTAAGTGTCCCGGTCTTATTAGCATGGCTTTCTGTAGTAAGTGTCCAGTGGCACAGTCTTAAGAAGGTTCAGTTGCAGGCCAAGTTTAGCCGTAGCCTGTGCCCCTATGGGGCCACCTGTTAAGATTCAGCAAGCAATCCACATTGTGCTTATAGCTGCCTCAAGAAACCGTACCTAATCCGAGGCCAGAGACCTCTATTGTGAGCCTTGGCTCTACTCAGCAAGGAGCACCAGACTCACCAAGGGTACACCTGGCTGTGTCTTGGGTAGGACCACGATTTGGGGGACCCGGAGTGTCAGGGAATCCTCTGGGGTGACTAAATTCTCTTATCCAGTTTGATGACGTCTCAGCTATGGCGGTGCTGCACACACACTGGGAAGAGTGGAAGGCTCAATAGAGGAACAATGGATACCACCGGCACTTCTGTCCGGGAGAGATCCTAGTTTCCGTCCCTCAATCTGACAACTGAATTTCCCCCTGTAAGTCACTGGTGCACCCTGCACAGACAACCCGGTGCTCTGCTCACAGCGAGCAGGTCCTTTCCCGCGAACGTTCACTCGTGGACACGGCCCCTTTAAGAGAGTCTGCAGCTGCCAGCTGCTGCTGCTATGTCCGAAACACAGCAGCCTAGTGCTTTCACCTCGTCCTATTTCTTCTCGTTGCAGGGTGCTTTCTTATTTCTCTCCCTAGTGGTAGGGCTTGCTCGTCTAGTCCCAGGCAGGTTTCCTTGCTGTTTGCTCCATGTTTTTGTCACAACTTTTACTTGGTCGCAAGAAGGATGAACAAAGAATCTATCATGTATGCCAATTTTTTCTCTCCCACCTGTTGACAATTTCATTGTAATGTAGCTCAGTGTGGATTTCTCTTGTTCATCTTGGTTGGAGTGCTTTGGCCTTCTTGAGTCTAGATATTAATTTTCCCTATAGAGAAGAGACATTTTCTGCCATCATTTCTTGATGTAAGCTTTCTGCCCTTTCTCTATTCACCTATGAAGTCCCTTAGGATTACTGACTTTTTTCATTCCTTTCCTTCTGATCAAATAATATTTGTCCTTTCCTTTCCTTCTGATCAAATAATATCAAATGACCTTTCTTTGAGTCTGCTGAATTTTCTTCTGTTTTTCTTCAAGTCTACCATTGAAGCTCACTAGCAATGTTTACGTGAGTTATTGTCTTCTTCAGTCCCCCAAATTTTAGCCTTCTGGTTTTTTTTTTTTTTACATGTTCACATTTTTATTTTCTTTATGTATCATTTTCATGAGCTTGTGGAACACCGTTATCACTTTTAAATTATTTCTTTGGATAAGTGGTTTCTTTAAGATCATTGTCTGGATATTTGTTTTGTATTTTTGTTTGAATCATGTTTCCTTGTGCTTTGTTTGTTCCCTAACTTTGTGTTGGGATCCATGAATTTGAACAAATACACACCTCTTCCAGTCTTTATGGACTGGCCGTATACAGGGCAAAGCCCTCACCAGTCACCCTGGCTAGAGACTCAAACACCCCATTTTCCTCTCTCCCTGTTTTTTTGTATAAAGCTCTCTGGTTCTGTGTTTACATTTTGACAACTAGAGAAGCTTGCCAATTTCTTTTTCAGGAGCTACTAATCTCTGGCTTCCTTTGTTCTCTGTTTACGGTACTGAAAGTTCTTTGGCTCAACGTAAGCAAGTTTCCCCACTGTCCTTTTTTTCCAAAGTTGGTATTCTCCCCCTCTGGGCCCTGAGTCAGGTGAGAGAGATGCCAGTCTTTTGGGTAGCACTCCAAAAAGCCAGAACACCATGCGTGTGCTCTACTTCTCTGCTTTCTCCTTAAAAAAAGAGCCTCCTCAGATTGTGCACGTTCTCTAGATTGTGCCAAGCCATGCTGGCCTCAGCAAGGCACTACTCTCCCCTCCTTTATTCTCATTGGTCTCAGACATCTAGACTCTGCCAGTTTTTTCAGTACTTCAAGTGATGTAAGACGGATACCAATTCTTCAGGGAGCCCACTGACAAGCTGGTACATTGGAGGCATGCTTCCTCCTTCTCTTTCCTGTGATGGAGTCATCACAACTTGAGGCATTCTCTTCCACAATTGAGTGGTGCCAGATTCGAGGAGGTAAAGTGAAATTGCTTGTTACCAGTTTTAATGTGGCTGTCCTCAGTTCTTTGCTCTACTGTGCTACTGCAACTTTTTAACTGGAATCTGGAAATCTCGTAAAGGAATTTTAGTCTAATCATTGCTAAATCAATGGTTCTGTGGTGGATAAAGGGGCTGGGATTTTTCATTCCACCATCTTCCCAATGTCATTTTTCACAACACTTTTAATTCAAGTCATCCTAATTACATCTACAGATGTGAAGTTTGAACTTTTTGCATATAATAATCATTCATTGGTCATTTGATTGCAAAATTTTTATTCATAGATTCTTTACAAAAAAGTAAACTTTACTGTAATTTCTTTACAAAAATGTGATATACTTGATTTATATGTTGGAAAAAAATGTGTTTATTAAATTATATTATTCTATTGATGGCTATACAGAACACTACACCAGAAGTCCACACAGGGCACCTTTTCCCAAATAAATTATTTTTTGCTGATGAATCGAAATGCTGGATATTTACATCCAAAGGAGGGAGACTTTTTAAAACATCGAAATGAAAAAATAAAAGAATTGCATTTACCAATTTACCTTTTGTGTGAATATTCTGGGATTGATGTTTGAAATAAAATTTCTCATTTTGTTTTAACTTTAGACAAAAAGTT